GGGCACATGTTTCGTTTAAAAGTGTCTGAAAACGAGACTGAAATGCCAATTCGTGAGTAGGTAAGTGAAAACATGTCAGAATGCAGAGGTAAAAAATAAAAAGAAATTCAATGAGGAACTGAAAGTCTGCACATGGCGACAGAGATCGTGACAGAAGCTCCATGTGGGCAAATTCATGCTGTACCATATGTGAAGATCAGCAGTGGTCCGTTTCCCACTGAGTTCATAACCCGTCAGATGATTTCCTGGAGAATGTCACTATGCAACACGTCTGTTGATGATAAACCTTTTTCTATTTTAGACCAAAGCTTCCTGGAAAGCAGCTGCAGAAAAATGTAGATATCTTCCGTAGGACATAGAATGTAACTTTTTATATTTCCTATATTTAAGCACAAGTCTTGTCATGGCATTAAAACATGTTGCTGACATAATAATAAATTTTGATTGCAAAATTTAAGGCATTTAGATGCTTTTCCGACTGTTCACATGAATCTGTGCTGCATAAAAGTATGAGACCTCACTTTGCTCTTCATGCATTTTTAAGAATAATCGTGTAGGTGGCGTGAATACATGTTTGCACAGGTGCATGATGGTTACCTTTCATGAAGATTTGGAGGATTCATCAAGCATCGCTTTTAGTCATCGTTCACAAAGTCGGAGTCATCACACACCTCAGCACAGCAGCTGTAACTTTGATCTTTTATTGATGGAGTTTAAAGGTGTGTAAATTATTGAGCAACACACTGGATGCTGCACTGTCTCTGTATTCAAACAGGGTGACGAGGGGGACCAAGACGCTCTCCAAACAGCAGCCGTTAGCTTTATTATTTTAAATCAAGACAAGGCAACTTCATTTATACAGCACATTTTAGTAACAAGGACATTCAATGTGCTTTATATGATAAAAATAGAAAACAACAATCAAAGAAAAAAAAATCCTTATTTTGTAATGGAATAATATGGGAACATAATAAACAATTAGAGTCCAGATAAAAATAATGCTCCAGTTAATCCAAAGCAACTCTAAACGAGTTGTAGCCTTGATCTGAAGATTTGAATTCATAATTTTTCTGTTTTCCCTCTCTCTTTCTACCAAAACCCTGGATGACAAAAATCTTCAGTCTTGTGTATTCATCTCAACAGACCATTTTTTGAAGGGCACTTTTGTTTACAGAGACTTTATAGTTCATTTTAGTTGTTGTTTCTGTCCCTGGGACAGACTGGCGACCTGACCAGGGTGTACGCCGCCTCTCACCCAGAACGTTAACTGGAGATAAACCAGAACCTCCCAACCCCAATAGAGACAAAGATGAACTGAAAATGGATGGATGGATGGATGGATGGATGGATGGATGGATGGATGGATGGATGGATGGATGGATGGATGGATGGATGGATGGATGGATGGATGGATGATGGATGGATGGATGGATGGATGGATGGATGGATGGATGGATGGATGGATGGATGGATGGATGGATGGATGGATGGATAGTTCACCATCTGTTGCCAAGTGACTGATGATGACGTTGGTGGACGGCTGGTGACAAGCTTTACCCAGAATACATTTGGAGACAATATGGACGATCCACTTGTAATTTTGTGTGTCATAAACTTAAATGTAAATAAAGCCAGTCATGTAGCATAACATTTCATTCAATATTTTACACCTGCTATGTCACTAAAATCAGTCGGTCTGGTAAAGTTGTTAGCTGAGGCAGCCTAGATCACCCCCTGTTGGTTGTAGGTATGCATTTCAGAGCCAGAACCATCAGAATATTATCCGCTGCCAATCATAAGAAAGATTTCAGGATCTCCACAATGGAGAAGCTGTTATTATGAGGGTTCCTCACCAACTGTCTCTAATATCATATCAAAGCCACCTTTAAATAACAGTCAATTAATGCGTTAATGTAGAGTCACACCAAATCAGGAGTTGAGTTTGGTTGGTTCTCTTCTGCAGGCAGAGAAGAAGGCTGTGGACGGCGATTTGCTCCCTGATGCCAATGGCAAAGATCCCAGCCCAGGGGGACAATCAGAGGGCTCAAAGTGGGAGAGACCCCGGCTTTCACGCAAATCGCTCATGAAGTGCTGCCTCGTCAAGTGGATAATTGCCAGCACCACGCAGCAAGGGCCAGGTAGAGACACAGGGGAGGACATCAGAGCAGACTGATGCCCTGAATGATAAAACATCACAGGCCAGACTACAGAGTAGGACTATCACAGTAGAGGTGGACACCTTCCTACAGAATGCATCAATTTTGCAGGCTCTGCTTCAGCCTTTCATATTTTAAATTCAACATTGCTCGCCATCCTCCTTCACTTTCAATATGAAGAGCTTTGAAAACTATTTTCTGGCATCTAATCCCAGCTTTTCTAAGTTATAACTCATTTCTCTCAGGGAATGAATTGCAGAGTTCCTGAATTAAAAGCAAACAAACTTCACTTTACATTCTTAACTCGTTGCTCTTAGAGCATTTTTATTCTTTTCTTTTTAGCAGAAAACAAAGGTGTCTTTCCCAAGCCACTCCCATTTGGTTTATTTAAATTATTGACACCATGCTTCTCTGGAGACATGCTGATACAGACTTATCTCACCTTGTCTGACAAGTATCACATTTGCCTTGATTTGCTATTTCCATGTATTTTACTTAATGACATTCCTCTATTGAGTATAGTCTCAATAGAAGAAAATGTATTGGAACATTTTCCTTCCACTACAATAATAGTCGTCTATCATGTAAAATCCCAATAAAATGTGGTTGTAACAGGACAAAGTGTGATAAAGTTAAAGCATCATAAATACTTTTACAAGACGCAGCATAAAATAAAAGTAGCGAGAAATTATACATTCAAGAAAACAACATGGGCATCTAATCGGTCAATTGTTTAGCCTTTAAAGTGTCTTCAGAATCTAAAAACTATACAACCAAGCAGATCAAAAATAGGAAATAGATATACTTATAGTTTTTATTTATAAGTAAATCAATAGGCAGTTGATTTACCAATCTGGTACTTGAACTGCACAAAATTGATGTAAAGTTTTATTTTTGTGTGACTTTCTCGCCACATTAAAATTACTTTGTCGCCATCTAGTGGTTTTTAAACTCAGGAGCAACTATTTATTTACTATATTTAAAGCCAATTGACTGGGAGAGCAGAAAGAAAACTGTAGTTTTTGGACAGAAACAGGGTAAAAGAATCCGTCCGCAACCAGATATAGGAAGAAAAGCTTTAGTAAAAACCAAAAGCCATGCTAAATTTTTGTTAGCCCGACATTTTTGTTTATAGAGGAAACAAATCATTATTTTGCTTTTTGTCCTTTTCAGTTTGAAGTTTAATTAAACATGTTTGAAACTGAAATGTTGCATTCTTGAGCTTTTTTTTTATGGAAGACAATATTGTGAAAATAAAATTAAACCAGAAACTCAAAAGTTCAGCAAAAAAAAAAAAAGTTCATTATGAGATGAGAAGTGACTGATTGTGGTAGATAAACTAGATTAGACTTTTAGCTTTAGTGCTGCTTTCTCTGCAGTCATTAAATCCTGGTGATGAGGCCAAAAGCTGCTCTGCCTGTATCTTTGCATGTTTAATTCACTGCTCTCCATTTGTATATAACTGAAGAAAAGGTGGGTCAGCACTTAAGGCACATTAAACAACCTGTTGTTGCTTTATTTTTATATATTTATATAAGTTCAGATCCTGCATATTTAACAGATACTGTATCTCTGTTTTGTTGTGGCTGAAGGACAATAGTATTGCACTCAAGCACCAGCAGACTTCATTTGACCTTGTTCATTTTAATTAGTTTTATTGTGTTTAATCTTGTATCATTCTAGTCATATTTTTATGCTTTTCCTTTTAATGCAGGCAGTTATGCGCGGCACTTTGCTTTAGTAATACTTTATAAATAAAACTAGAAAAGACAATATGAAAGCTTATGTGAAAGAAGAACATCTTTAACTGACTAAACAATAACTGGGATTAAAGCGTTTTATACTTTGGTGTGGGATATTTTAGATGTGACAGCTAGGACCTGATACTCTCTTCAAAATTCTGCATAAATGTAGCAAAACTGCATTTCTGTTGAGATCTTTTGCATCTGTGCTACTAAAATACTATAAAAATATAATATATTAATATTTATTTGGGATTTTGGCAAGGTTTTGTTTTAATTTATCATACTCTTTAATGGATGAGACACAAGTTAGCTGACCAATTCTGGTGAAACTTCAAAGTTACATAAATCCTGCGTCAAAATGCATATGCTGCACACTTTCTCTGACCAATATTTTAACTCCCATTGATTGATTAGCACTTCCTGATACTTAAACTTAGTCCATTAAGTTTTGCAGACTCATCAGTTCTGAACTATCCCCACATTCATCTTCACTTGCACTGTGTTGCAAACCTACCTGATTAAAACGTTTGTGCATATGTGTAAAATACTTTATTTACACAACTATTCAACCGCTGGTGATAAATGCAGAACTATCTTCACTTTTCTGAAGTAAACCTTCACAACTTGAATCTTCCACCATCCAGTTTTATCACATTAAAAAACACCCCGTCACAAACGTCTGATATTTGCTTGCATGTGATTAAAACCACTTTACTTACTGAGTCTATCACTGACCAAGTGTGGAGATACAGGCAGCATTACACAGGCTCATTTGCACTAAGTGCTACTCAAACCCCAGCCATCAGCAGACGTGGATCAATGCTTGGTTTTACAGTTTGCATCTCTGAAATGACGGGGCTCAAAAAGTCACAGACCATTAGAAAAGAAATTCCTTCACCAAGAACTTCCTGTCCTCACTGGCACCACCCTTAAACACATTTGTACCCACCTGCTTCACAGCAGACAACTGGAGCTAAACCTGGAAATGAGGCTCAGATGGATGTTTTTGCAAATTAGAACAACTTTAGACTTTTCTTTTTTTTTTTTTTTTGGTGATCGGAGTTTCTGACATTTATTTTTACTTGTCAAACTTGGGCAGCAGGATGTTCCTCATTCATGTGTTGCCCATTTTCTCGGCTGGTCACTGGTGTGAATCAGTTCATATCTGCTGATGTTGCTGCAGTGTCTCTGATGAACTGATGGAGCTTTATGGATGAAGGAGATGGTGGGCAGCAGGTGATATTTTTCTAAGAAAAAGCAAGCTCAATAGATTTGTCAGTCCAGAAAAAGAGACAGTACTTTAAAAGAAAAATTTTATGATCACATTTTTTTTATTCCAGCAGCATTTTCAGAGCTGACATCTGATACAGGTGAATAATGGGTGTAGAGGGAATGGAAGTAATTGCCATTGCTGTTGTTCTGGGACTTTTTATTGTTGTTCTCAAACAGTTTGGGATTTGGGAGCCTTTGTCACTTGAAGGTAAGAGTAGGGTGAATTTTGAGTTTTCTTAACTGTGTTGCAATGTAATGATACACTGTTATTTTTCTGATTTGAATCTTCACATCTTTACATTTCTACATTTAGAATGTTTTCATTAAGCTACCTTAATCAACAACAAATGTTCATTTGCATATCTTTAATGTGTTCGCTTTGTAAAAGTTGCATTTTTTTTTCTTTTCTTTCCCTCTCATTCCTTCGCCATCTTCCTCACCTCTTCTTCGTCTTGTTCAAATCTATTCATGTGTGAAATCATTGTGAAGACGGTGAGTAGCTCCATCATCATCAGATTAATTTCCTCCCATTGATTAATTTAGTCCTCCTAAATTTTTACTCACTAGTTTGTATTAGTGCGACTGAACCTTTTTTACTTTGTGGACATCTACTTGACTTGCGGGTGGTGCTGATAAATGTGTCACCTGGCAAACATCATGTGCCAAAAGTGATTCAAGGTCATGGATATAAAAGCAATGTCATAAAATATTTTTGATATAATCAAAACAAATGAATCAATTCCATAACTTATAGGTGTCAGAATTATTGAAATGTGCTAATCATAAATGTAGAAATATCTAAATGTAAAATGTATTAATTGAAACTTGCAGAATCTATGAAGTATAAATATATTTACTACTTTTATTTATTGTTTATGCATAGTTTTTGCTCAAATTGCTATGGTTCATAAATAATATCAATTAAATAAATGCATTTCTATATGTAGTAGTTTAAATGAAACTATATTAAGTATGTATATTTTTAATAAATTGTAAAAAAAAAATCATAGATGATTAAATGGAAAAATTTAATATAAAATGTGAAAATCGAATGCAAATGTAAACATTTTGTGTTTTATTCTTATTTCATGTTTCCCTATGTAACTGTTAACATTTGAGTTTCTTAACTGCAGACGAAGCCCTTTGTTTAAGACTGCTAGCCTTTTCCAAATACATTAAATTTATGGCTTAGTTCTGTAAAATGGGATTGTCAGTGAAATAATTCAAAATGATTAATGATTTAGTTATTTAAATTTCAACATTTAAGTTTCAAATGTATCATTTATTTATTTCGAGTTTCATTTAAGATTTCTAATGTAAATCATTTTCACTTCTCTGTGTTATTGTGATATTTTGGCACTAAGTATTTGCTGTAACTCACATTGCAGTTTATCAAATGGAGCAAATTTGAAATTAAACTACATGGCAAGTCACGCTAAGAATCATATTGATAATAAGACTAGTGGCATTTCCATCCCATTTGTTTACTTTTTGTCCTCCATAATGCAAACAAAGTGTAATCCAAAGTAAAGACCTTGATCAGAGCATAAGTGTGTGACTGCCAGGTGTCCACAATGAGGAGGTTAGTTAACTATGTTAATGCATTCGTAATTTATTTTCATTCATATCGGCATTATTTTTTTTTATGTATCTACATGTTCCCCTAATTTTGCCCCTCTTTCAAACTCAACAAATTATTTCATCTCATTTTATTGATGTCATGCTCTTGCCTCAAACTGTTCATTGTCTGCTTTTTATTCATTTCCTCATCCCTCTTTTCTTCTCTCTCCACCATTGTTCTCAACTTCCTGTTATGTTTCCTAAAAGATGGTGGGTGTTTTTTCTCGTTTTGGTTTTCCACTGTTTTACCTTCTTTCCGAGTATTTCCTTCCTTCCTTTCTTTTTTTTATTTCTTTCTGGTCTTACTGCTGTTTCCTCCCTCTTTTCTTTCTCCCGTCCTCCCCCTGTTTTGTTCTGATTCTGTCCGGCAGACACCAGTGACAGTGTCCTTGAGCTCTCCATGGTGCGGCACCAGCCGGAGGGCCTCGACCAGCTCCAAGCCCAGACCCAGTTCACCAGGAAGGAGCTCCAGTCGCTCTACAGAGGCTTCAAAAATGTAGGGGAAATGTTTTTAGATATTTGTGTGTAATTACATTTTAGTTTTTTTTTTTTTAAAGTGAATAACTTTTAAAATGTGATTTAGTACCACACAATTTTTGACACTTTTGAAAAAAAAATTTTGCACAAAAAAATAACAAAATATAATATATCTAACACACTTTTTATTCCCCATGGAGAGATGAAGTTATGGGTCACTAATATGTGTTAAATAAATGTTGAATCTGTTCTGTAGGAATTCTCTTGGTTCTAGTTATTAATTCTTACTGTGTGAATTTTGGTGCTAAACTTACAGCACAGAGTTTTCTAAACATTTCATTGGGAGATTGTGCCACTTCAATAACAGATCAATCTGCTCAAGAGTAAGAATAATTTAGCGATGATTAGTCAAGTGAGTGAAATAAATATAATAGTAATAATTCTAAACATACCTTCTTTATAGAAACTTGTTTCCTGTCAACAGGAATGTCCCAGCGGTTTGGTAGATGAAGAAACATTCAAAACCATCTACTCACAATTCTTCCCTCAAGGAGGTAACCATATATAAAATGTGGTTTTAAAATGCAAAATGTAAACACTAAAATAATTATTTAAAGGTGCATTTCATATACTTATTAGTTTCTTTTACTAACCCTAGCAGTGTAGCATAACAGTTCTGTTTTATGCACCATGAGAATACACTGTGCATAACTTTTTGTCAAACCAAGGCCTTGGTTTTTAGAATTTTAATATCGTGTTTTATTTCAGATGCTACCACATATGCTCACTTTTTGTTCAACGCATTCGACATGGACAGAAATGGTTCCATCCGATTTGAGGTGATTATGTCAGCGGCTTCAGCTTTGATTAAATTCACAACTATTTAGCCATCCAGGATGTTGAAAATGTATTAAGGGGTCAAAATAACTCAAGCTCAGTCCAATTGAATAGAGAACTTCTGTGAGCTTGAAATTATTTCCACACATTCTGATTTGGATTAAGGCCTGGATTGGACTAGGCCATTCTTAATTAAACATGATTATGCTTCAATCTAAACCAAAAGGTCCAAGAAGGGCCTTGTTTCTTATAGACAACTGAAGAAAAACATTTCAATCTCCTTCACAGGATTTTGTGTTAGGACTGTCTGTTTTGCTCCGAGGCTCTGTTACAGAGAAACTTCGCTGGGCTTTTAATCTTTATGATATCAACAAAGACGGCTACATTACAAAGGAGGTAACAGTTGCAAAAATTTTCCCGAACAAGATGCACTATAGTTCATTGTTCATCTGTCTTTTCATTTTTCTCCTGTAGGAAATGTTAGCAATAATAACCTCCATATATGACATGATGGGCAGGTATACCTTACCCAGCGTGCGAGATGATTCCCCTTTTGAGCATGTGGAGAAGTTCTTCCAGGTGAACTGAAACAACATATTTCTTTATTGTTACATTCAAATTTTACATCTATTTCTGGTCAGAGGAGTTTTGATTTCCTTCAAAGTTAGCTGAGCTTCAAAACGCTTTTCTAATGCCCGCTTTTATGCCATGTCTCGAGTGAACAAATCTCTTTTTTACTTGTTAGAAAATGGATCGAAACAGGGATGGAGTTGTGACAATAGATGAATTCATAGAAACCTGCCAAAAGGTAAAATGATCAACAAACTGACAAAATTGACTAGGTAATAATCACCTAAATCTATGTTGTTTTTCTTCCTCTCAACAGGATGAAAATATAATGGCTTCCATGCAGCTCTTTGAGAACGTCATTTAGTTTCTGCAAGGAAAATTGGACCTTGTTATGCTTCCTCCTTCAAGCTCTTATGCTGAAATAATGCCAGTTGTATTCTAACAGAAATGATTTTTGGCAAGAAAACACTTAGGACACATGTTTATAAAAACTAGGAAACCGTTCCTGTAAAATGTGAACATGCAAAGAACAGTGCAGTATCCACCACATCACTTTAAAAGCTATGTATCTTTGCATGAAAATCTTTTTATATATATATGAAAAGCATATAAAAAGTTGAAAAGCATGTGATAAAAACGCTTTGGATGCAATCAAAGGATTCATTGTCTTTTTTTTTTATGTTCTTTGAAATGTCAGTGCGTGAAAATACTTTGTTATGAAATAACACTGTGGTGATTAAACTTTGCTGTGATGTCCTGGATTTTTTTTTTTATGTTATGCTGGGAAGCATATCTAACTTTTTTGTGTCTACTAATGTTTCCAAAATGGTTTTATATATTTCAGTCCACATAATGGAACAGCTTTTCATTTAGCCAATAAGGGGGGATCCACCTGCATCAGCAGAAGCATTGAGGCTGTCCTGTAGGCCTGTTGTTGAACACATGAGTTTGTTTTGGGGGCGGGGCTTAACTGGATGCTGGGTGCTGCTATGGAGGTGATAATGAAAGCCAAAGTGCTGCTCAGCTGCACTGTAAGTGTTGCTTGAAAAGAGATCACAGCTTCAGCATCAGAAGCAATCTGTGGAACAAGACAGGAAGGTATGGTATCTTTTTCTCCCATTAAATGAAATAATATTTATATTACACTCTTCCTGTCATCACAAAGGTTAAATCCACTAGAATCAAACTACAAATGAGCACTTCTAATTTCTCAAGATCTTTCTATTTTAAATTTATTAGAAAATGGTGACATTTTCTTGGCAAGTTTTCAGTTTTAAAGCAACACAGTTTTAAATCATGAAGTCTGAATTCCCTGTAAACACTTCTATTCACTTTTTTGAATTTTAGAACTAATCTATTCTTAAATTACATGCACCATACGTGATATAATATTTAATGGTTGATTTTTTTTTCCGAAATATTTTATTGTTACTTGGGACATTTTATCACATGGTAATGTATAGATATACGGAAATTTCACTTTCTTTTAATAAATACAATTCATTGATTACATTAAACTAAAAGAAGATAAAAACAAGGATATAAAAACAAAGTCTCTGTATATTTAATTGTTGGTAAGAAGAAGAAAGTAAACCAACTCCAATATGAAAAGGCAAAATCTGCATCACAGACCCCTCAGCTAATCCCAGTGTTGACAGAGCATGTGGTGGACGGTTCTGGATCTCTGTTGTGTTAGCAAAGGGGAGTGTATGACTTTGTGCAGTAACAATAAATCAAAAGCCGGTTTGAACACCTGCCAAAACACATATGTCCCCTCTGACATCCACAAAAACAAATAAAGAGTTCAATATCAACCAAATTAAAGTGGTTTTGAATTTTACGATTACATCCTTCAAGTTTGTTCAAAGTATGACGGATGTTTTTTGCAGCTTTCCAATGATGGCTGTTCAGCTGAAGCTTCTCTCATTCTGGGTAGTGATGCTGCTCGCAGCTGCTTTGTGCCCCGGTTCGCTCAGCAAGCGAGGGGGCAGCTCCCGAGGTCACGGCAAAGGTGATGGCGACAAAGCGTCCCCCTCCCAAGGCCGAGGCCTCTCCAAGAAGGGCCTGAAGTGGGCAGGAGCGGCAGCAGCAGGCATGCTGGGAGGAACGGGGACAGGGTACGGGCTGGGCTTCCTGGGCAAACCAAAGCACGGGGCTGGAAGCCATCACAACCACAAGACAGAACAACATCAACAATCTCATTACCAGGAAACCCAAAGATACAACAACCAGTCTCTCTGGAGAGTCTTTGTTAGAGGATCTGCTCCTGCTACAGAGACAAATTTCTTTCTCAGACTAGGACATCTGGTGCCTTTTTTTACAGTAAGCTATTTAAGAGACATTTAATCTAATCAATATTCATTGTGAGCTGATCTGAAGTGAAATAAGCAACTAAAACGTTCAATAAAGAATCTTTCCTGCTGTTTCTTGCATCGTTGGTCTGATTGTTTTGCATATGCAAAGAAAATGGCTGTAAAAATTATTTCAGGGGACAAATATAGCAGTCAGACTTTCTATGATCATTGCATATTCTTCTGTACAAGAATAAGCAATGTTTTTCAGGGATTGCATTTAAAACAATTACCAACTTCATAAAAATATATAGTTTTCTGCAGAATAACATAAAGTCATATAAAGTTTCACTAAAGTTCCCAAATAATGAATACCTCCGTCACAATTAATTGTTCAGCACAGTGCGAGAGGATTTCTTTCTTGTACAGATTTCTTTCAAATTTTCTTTTTCAAAAATTAAAAAAATATGTATGTAGATCTGTTCTTGTTTCAAATTCATTACAATTATTTGGTAAATTTGAACTGAACTATGAATGGTAAAGATTATTTATTCCTTGATAAAATAAATGAAAATAGAAAAATGTCAGTGAGTCAGTGCTCTAAATCAATAGATATTGAAATAAGTAACATTTTGGTTAATTTCAGTGCTCATAACCTTTTTACTTAAGTTATTAGATATAAAAGACATTGAGTCAGAACTGGCTGAATACAAAGACAGAGGAATCATTTTTGAAGTGAATTTATTTCAGACATAAACATCCATGACAAGCTATGGTAAAATGTTTACACCAGTGAGTCAAAATGTTGACAAACAGTTGCCATTTGACATGTAAATGTAATAAGCCAACAAAGGAATATCCAGAGGGGGAATAAGTGCACTTTACAGATATTCAGCAGAAGAAATCTACATGCTCTGAAAACAAAATTTTATTCAGATAAATTTTACTCACCAATAATGGTCAAAATCAAGAAGAGAACGTCAATGTAAAAAGATGATGGGTTGAAAAAAAAAACAGACATTTCATATCCCTACACAGGGATGCATACAATTATGGAAACAGAGAACAATTGGCTTTTAGGAAGTGAAAATGGAATTATTTAACAACATTGTTCAACTCATCTTGAGGACAGAAAAGCCTATTGCGATATATTCTAATGAGATCCTGTACTTAAACTGTGACAATAGAGGTTAGAGTAAAAACAAATAAATTATTTACAAAGTTACCAAGGCTTGAAAAATGACTGTCACTGTGTTGAAAAATCCAGATGCATACAGGAAGATATTTATAAAAAATCAAGACCAAATAGTCGATGACTTAAGTTTCCGACAATAAGGTAAGCTGGGAGAATGTGCACAGGGACAATAATTGCTATAAAACTAACAACTCATGCTGGGTATATCATACAACTTTCTCAGCAACATTGCCTCCGCTTCCTCTCTGAAGATACACAATATTCAGGGATTACCTGGGGCAACAATAAAGTTAGAAATGTTATAAATGTGCAGATTAAAAGCATCCAACATTATTACCGAACAGCGCACAAAGCATTCACGATAGCTGCAAGAAGCATAGTGACATTGCACACTGATCTCTCCTTTTTTATCAAAAACTTTAAAAGATTAAGAACAGGAAGTTAGAGCAAGCTAGCAGAAGTCAAACAAGATGTCTGGGATGGATAAAGCTGAGAAAGAAAGTCGTTTTTACACAGAACGTTTCAACTGTTATCTCTTGTGATGAGAGATAACAGTTTACACACATTTCACACATTAGGGGAAACATCTCATAATTCTAGGTTATATATTCTGAATTTTTAGCTAATTTCTAAAGACGCCCAGATTAGAAATTTATGTCTGATTTCCTGTTTTAGCAAACTTTTGATCTCCTGATTAAAAGTCGTTTAGCTGATTATTTCTACATCCACCATCTTTCATGAGACACTTTCTTGTAAAACCTCACAGCCTTATAACTCGGGTATTTTCTTGTATCAAGTCGATTTACCCATTTAGTTTATCAAAATGCCCAATTTCTGTTTTTATATGCTTCTGAGCAGAAGAAGAAAAAAAGTAGAACATGGTGAATGACCAGTAGAACCACAGTCAAGCTCTCTTTTGCTGCTTGAATGAACACCTCATAGGCTTCCAAAGGAAAAAAAAAACTGTTCAATACGTCCAACTTCCTCCCTCTAAATCAAGTTCCACATTAAAGAATGCTTGACCAGGTATTTAGTTTTGCTGCATTCACTGATCATAAAATCATCAGGGCGAATTATGCTAAAAACTGCATTTTCTAATTTCTCAGTGCATCTTTAACTACAGTGTTATGCATACATATTGAGTGCAATCATTTAATACGGATGTATTCTTTCCTTATAACACTCCTCTCTGCAAAAATTGTTTGTTTTTTTTATTCCCTTGAGTGTTGATTTGGCTTTCGTGGGATCAGGAGGGCAGTCAAGTGTTTCCAGTCCGAAGAGTTGCTTTATTTGAACCATTTCCTCACAGCTATGACCTCCTTTTTTTTCATACACAAACTTATGTAAGAACAAAGTCTTGCAAGAGAAAAGGGAAATCTCAACAGCTAAAGTGTAAATATATTTTGTCAAAAAGGATTCCTTTTAAAGATATATAATACACTAATTACATAATTTAGAAATCACTCCACAAATGTATTTACTCTAACAGATTTTGGCAAACAACACAGCATATCTATTTAATCATTTATACCATCAATTCCATCAGAAATTTTGCTCTTCACCAAGCATTAAAGATTAAAAACAAAAAAGTGCAGTAAATTAAATATATTCTGAAAAGCAGACTTAAAAACTCAATCCAGAGTACACTACTTTTGCAGAAAAGTTGACTGTAACAATCTGTAAGCTATCGCTTCTATTTTAAAGATTAGATACACAGGCTGCTACTGTTACAGCCATAATGGAAGCAGGAGAAATCTATTTGGGATGTGGCTGAAAGGTTTTCCTTTTCTTCTTCCTCACTGCAGTAGTAGCATGCTGGACAGAAGCACGAAGCCAGACGTGAAAAGCTGCATCACCCCATTGCTCATAGGAGCACTATCTCTTGGCTGTTGCTGTTGTTCAAACTTTCGTTCCTCCATGTACTGTGCAGAGTACTTCATGTACTCCTCCACGCAGCGGCGGGACTTGACTTGGTCGATCAGGGCTGGGTAACCAATTTCTTCAATGCTGACGGTGTCGTTATCCTCATCAGTTGCTCCACTATTCGATGAGCCTTGGTCTTTGAGGAGGTCAGTGCGATTCATGCACTCACTCATGTAGTTCTCGTAGGTCTTGGCCCGTGGAGGAAGCTTGTAGACATAGTCCCGCCCATAGTCTTTTTGATCTGTTGACTTGGTCCCATACTGACGGTACATGTAGTTGTTGTAATAGTATTCTTCTTCGGGGTTACGGAAGGCAAAATGTGGTCGAGGGAAGCGCCCTAGCCCATAACCGACAGCCATTCCAGCTAATGCACCGACACCTGCTGCTACCATGGCTTTTTTGGCAAAGCCTGTTGATTTGGGCTGAATTCCCATTCCCTGCACAGAACGAGAGAAAGGAGATCCTCCCATGCCATTGCCACCATATCCATAACCTCCGCCACCAAACCTCGGGCTGAGAATTTTATTATTTGGGTTCCAGTTAGGGTAACCGCCAATTGCTCCTCCACCGTAGCCACCACCGTAACCTCCACCATAACCTCCACCATAACCACCACCGTAACCTCCACCATAACCTCCACCGTAACCACCTGGGTAGCCACCAGCTGCTCCAGGACCCAAACCAGGCCCTGTATTTCTGACTGGGTAACCACCTGCTCCGGGGTACTGGTTGGGATAATTCCCTCCAGCAGGGTACTGGTTAGGATATCCTCCTCTGCCTTGGTTGGGGTATCCACCAGCTGGATAGCCTCCAGCACCTGGATATTGATTTGGATAATTGCCTCTTCCTGGTTGATTAGGGTATCCTCCTGCAGGGTATCCTCCTGCAGGGTATCCACCTGCAGGGTATCCACCTGCAGGGTATCCACCTGCAGGGTAGCCTCCTGCTGGGTTTTGATTTGGATAATTGCCTCTTCCTGGTTGATTAGGGTATCCTCCTGCAGGGTAACCTCCAGCAGGATTCCCTCCTGGATACTGATTGGGGTTGCTCCCGGCTGCTGGATAACTTGGTGGATTTTGTCGGGCATTCCCGCCTGGATTAGTATTCTTACTTCCAGGGTACGGGTAATTCCCTCCAGAAGGATACGGATTGGCATTGCGATTGGGGCTCTGCTGTCGAGGATAGTTTCCGGGCTGAGAGTTTGATGGCTTTGATTGGGTTCCACTTCCTCGGCTGGACGTTGTGGATTTCTTTCCACTGCTGCTGCTGCTGCTGCCGCCACTGCCTCTTTTAGCACAAGTTGATTCAAAATTCAGCAGCAACATAATAATCAGAGACAGAAGTCCAATTTTTAAAAACCACCCCATCATAGCCTTGAGGAGAGAAGTAAAACAAAGCAATTAGAAATTACAAAATAAACATTGTTTGCTCTATTTTTTGTAACACTTTGAATATGCAGAGTGAAAGAAAATGATAATCTTGTTTTTATATTTAAGCCACCCTGATTAACTGGGCTCCATAGTAACTGTAGGGCCTGATGGGATACACGGCCTTAATGAGATAACTGAATTTCAAATAGGTTACCTCGAAACAGATCGACCTCGTTGCTCTATTACGCTTTGGTGGATTACGAACAGAAAGATTTGTGTTAGTTAAATGCAACATCCATCACTGCTAATGACGAATCACTGAGTAACCATCACTGCAGAATGTATTCTGACCTTATCATAATAAAACTGACAGCGTCGCTTTATTTTCTCATTAGGGACAAATCATAAAAACAAACACAGCACGATTAGGGAAACGCATCTTAGACTTACTGTAAATTGATGGCTTGTGGTTGCGCCTCTTTCGTAATTCAATAACACTGCGTTTGTTGTTCTCCGCCTGTAGCGGTTGCCTCTGATCTGGGTGGGTTAATGTTCTCAGGGTGCGCTTGTTTTCTGTCACGGGGAGCGCCGTTTAGGAAAATGGGGAGAAGGCGGGAACGCGTTGTTATAACCTCGAATCAACAAAGCCATCAAAAAGCGACACATGCTGAGCTTTAAGAAATAACTTTAACCTAGTGTTTCACATTTGAACCAGCCGAAGTCAGAATATATAAATGTATGCTCAGCAGCATCTCTGGTCAACCTCTGTCAACATCCCAGTGTTCAATCAGTATTAATACATAACATCAACGAACATTTCTACATAGTTCATTTCTACATAGCTTTAGTACAAAAATCTGTGAAATACTGACAAGTGTTATTATGGTCTGGAGGCGCTCCCCTTGAGAAAACTGTGTTAGAACTTGGTCGTCCTGACAACCACTATGTTCCGTTACACAGAACGAGTGCGCACGCGGACGCAGTGTGTGCTGCAGCGTCACTCAGGCGCTGCACCTGTGACGCTGTTCCCTTAAAGGAGCAGTGACATGATTTTCTGTCTACGGACTTTTAATCGACTATTTATTCCTATTTATGTCAGATTTTAACGTGGGTTACACCTACATTAATACACTAGACAGCTAAGCGTGATGTAAAATGTTCTACATAATTGGGCCTCGGTTTTGTAAACCTTTAAGCTATTATGGTGTTAAAAGAAAAATCTGGGAATTTCAAACCAGCTGCGGAGAGTTAGAGCGATGCGCGCTCCCGCGACAGGGGACGCAATTCTCGGCAGGCATGCATTTCTCGGCATAACACCTGTTATTGCCGAATGCCGATTCTCTCAGTTTACTGCAAGACAAGCCAGAAGACAACACAAGTCGAGTCATTTATGTCGTGATTTGTTTATAACAAAACAAACAAACTTGCTGCTCACCCTCAGAGATACATGGCTAGAATAGCAGCGACGACATGCGAAAATCTAGTCACACAGCTTACCTCTGGCAGATTTACACATAAAATTCATCCAACCAAGAAATTTCTTTATGTTAGGAAATTACACTGACATCTCTCAAACCATCCATCTGTTCTCACAATCTCTAGGATGTGGTGAGTTTGCAAAAATTTCAAAGTCAGGGTGTGGATGCTGATAAGACTGCTACGAAATCTAAAGAAGCTTCCTCTAAGTTTGATGTTATATACGCACTTGGACAACTTGGACCGTGTACATTTTTTATTCTTTACATTTATATTTTATCCGTTTGTTTTGTCATAACGTCTGTGGAATATGCTTAAGGTAATTTATTGCAGTCTCATTTTGTTCTTGTCACAAAAATTTTGCAAGGAGCGTGTCCACTTTTAAGATCCATTCAAACCTCGGTCTTTGTGGTACTTTAGAGATTCCAGCTTTTGTTCTGCACCTTTTGGTGTTTTGCTTTCTGCAACTGCTGCCAGGTGCTTTTTACTCCCATGTATTTACATTCCCAGTATCAAAAATTCTGCATGTGAGAATTAAAGAACTCATAGCTAGACAACAAGATCACTCCAAACTCAATTATTACTAATCAGCAATTAAACATAGTCCCAAAAGCTAAGTCAATGCACACCAGAACAAAGGTTTTGAATGGAATACTTTGTTCTGAAATTGGATATCTTTTTGGAAAAAGTGCATGTATATCTATAATATACAGATATAATATACAGGCCTAATAGGTTGGGGATTTTCTCACTGGAAGTCCTGTCAACATTTAGAGGTCTGAGTCCTGAGTTGAAGCTGTAACAAAATTTGTGAAGGAAGGATTTGGTTGCTGTAACAACAAAGAAAACTTGCATATAAATAAAAACAAATAAACTACTTTCTTTTTTAAAACTCATACTTTAAAGCTTCCTTCATTTCCTATCAGAAATAAGCGGAATCCTGCTAATTCACTATTTTTTATACATATATTTAGTTTTTCTTAGCAACCCACCAAATATAATTTCTTGCCAATTTTGAAAAAAAAAAAAAAAAAAAAGAAGCACGACGTTTTCTCTGTCCTTGATCTTTGCTCTTTCCTCTACTCTGCGGCGCATGCGTATTGGGAGGAGCCAACCGTAGGCACGCAGCTGTGACGCAAGCCGCCGCGGTTGTAAACGGTCAGAAACCCGTATGTTCTCGTCGCTTTGTGTCCGGTAACAACATGTCGGTGAGGAGAGAGCCCAGTGGAGGAACTGCAGTGAGCGAGAACGGCACGCCGGAGACATAAACAGCGCGCTAAGCAACCAAGCCGAACGGTGACAGTTCAGAGAATCAGCCGCGGCTACTTTATTTTCACAGCGGCGGGGCCTGTTGGAGGCTAATGAACGGTTAAGGACGGACAGCCGGTGATCAGAGGACTCGCAGGCAGGTGGTCGGGCTGGTTGGAGAGAGGAAGAAGGGAACAGCGTGTTCGGACTCTAATCGGGACAGACAGTCTCCTTGCTGGGGAATGTTATCTGTATTGTCTTATGGCAGACTGGTAGCCAGGGCTGTCCTGGGTGGACTCTCTCAGACAGACGGTCGGGACTACAGCCTGATAACCGCCAGCTATGGCTTTGGCAAAGACTTTCGTAAAGGGATCCTGAAGAAAGGGATGTGCTACGGTGATGACGCCTGCTTCATAGCGCGACACAGGACCGCCGATGTTTTGGGTAAGGTCACGGGCATGGAAAGCTCTGTCAAATAGTCTCACGACTGAGATCGGGTGACCTTCAGTGGTCCAGCCCGCACGTGTGCAGACCACTCGGATGAAAACAAAACATCCTCCCACTCTGTCTGCCCCCTGCAGCTTTTGTAGGAACTTGACAAATTCATCTCGTGTCCAGCTAGCAGAATGTAGCATATTGGAATGCACTAATGTCATTTATTAAAAAAACCGAGCCCAGATATGTTCGACTTGTGTGTATCTTTTATCTTCAAAACATCAATTGACCTTTCACCTAGATCAGCCCCACCATGGCTACACTGCGACAAAGCTGTGGATTGAATACATAATATCAGGGGATTTGAATAAACTGCGTTACGCCTGAATGCGACTGCAAAGTGCTCCATTAAAAAGCGTCGGACTGAGCGCTACAATGTCTTGCAGAGGTCAGAATGGTTGAGCGTGGAGGCAGCCATATTGCTAGCAGCAGCTTGCTACCTCTGCTCAATGCTTTTTGTCCTCACCGGCACGAGGGGTAAACACGAGCCGAGTACTGCACAGACCACGTGGTTAAAGGCAACGTGCTGTCAGGGATGAGCAGGAACTATTTACATTTGTAAAGTTACATTTACTTCAGTAACGTTTTAGAAAAAAAAAGAATACTTCTAGGAGTATTTTTTTTTACAACAAACGTTTTAGTTCTACTTGAGAAATATTATTGTGAAGTATTGCTACAATTGAGTAAAGTTTGAAAAATACTAGTTAGTTTTTTAAATGGCTACATTTTACTTACTATGTGCAGTCATTGTGGACTTCTGTAGTAGTGCAAAACAGCTAATCAGATTTTATGCAGAACTAGAGGTGGGTAATGTGAGTTGTTTTGCTGTTCCAGCTTTGTTTTCTGTCCTGCTAACATTGATTGAATTTTAGGGGAAACCCACATTCTAGCTTCGTTTTACTTTCATAATTGAAACAAGTACAGTGATGATGAGAAATAAATGAATTAATCCACAGTTGAATCCAATCTTGAATTACTACAAAAACTAATATTCACAATCCTTCTCATTTCGACTCATTGTGGTACATCCAATCAGCACCAAGGAGAATGAATGGTGATTTATGGATTGGCTGTTTTGCAAAAGTCAGTCAATGGTGTGTCAAGTAGAATTGTGCCTGAAGGATTTCAATTTCACATGGTGCATTTTCCTTCAAATGTCTTAGATGTGCTCAATGTAAAAAAAATGTACACATGCTGAACCCCAATAAGGGGGGACCTTTTCACCTAATTAGTTAGAGCCCACCTGTATCTATTTTAATCTCAGTATGAATACAGCTGTTCCCTGACTTGATTTCTGGATGGATGAAGCTGAATATAGGACAACTATATACTTTCTAGGTAGTAGAGACTGTTATGGTGTTTGACTTTGTAGCAGGAAAACATCTACTTACTCCCAGAGCTACAATGGAACCATTTAGTTTGTAGTTCATACAAGCTGCTGTTCAGACACTCCCCATCTCACCTAACGAGCTGAAGCTGTTTTGCAAAGGAGTGGATAAAACATTCCACCTCTGGACTTAAGATTTCAGAGACATAATCAAAGCAACTTGCAGAAAGGTTGTTCTGCACAGTTCTGTTTCAGAGAGGTATATTCTTGTTCACTTTAACCTTAGAGTAATACACAAGTTTGGCCTAAAATCTAAATAAAAAAATTAAAGTTGTGGTGGTACAATAACAAGATGTCAGCCAGTTGAGGGGATACGAATATAAGGAAGCCTGGTAAAGGCATATTTTCTGACTTAATTTCCAGTCTAAAAGATCACATGTTCAGATTTTTGTAATTATATATATATTTTTTTCTGTCTTATAGGTGTTGCAGATGGTGTAGGCGGTTGGCGTGATTACGGTGTTGACCCGTCTCAATTCTCTGCCACCTTGATGAGAACGTGTGAGCGATTGGTGAAGGAGGGACGCTTCACTCCCTCTAATCCAGTGGGGATCCTCACCTCTGGCTATTATGAGCTGCTACAGAACAAGGTTCCACTGCTAGGTGAGTACTCGCAGTCAGAAACATCTGAAGAGTCGGTACACCAGGGAGCTGTGCAGTAATCTGTGGAGTGAGCTGTGCTGAAGCTATACTTAAATAGCTGCAGTATGAGTCAGACTGTAGCAGTGCTGCTGAGAGGCCTGCATAGCATTTTACTTTAAACAGTTGGATTGAACTTGCTATGTTCCTCTAGAGGTTGGAGGAATAGCAACACTGACTTTTAGCAGATTACACAGGTTTTATAAGTACTTTAGTGTTTTTACAGATATTTTCTATATGAATTTCTAGCTTGTGTCATTTTGTTTTGTATCTTATGCCAATATTTAAGTCATTTAAATGGCTATTTCTTTCACCCTCTGTGGTGCTTGGGGGACTGAAAGTACAAAGTTTGTATAGTTTCCACTTGCCAGGGTGTAAATAGGTGACATATCCATCTGTAACTGATAAGACTAAGTGGTTGTAAAGATTTTAAATGCAGGGTCAAGTCAAACATGTGAGCAAGGTCACATTTCTTTTGAGGCTCAGTATTTCGGGCCAGTGTGGGCGTCCAATGGCTGCTGTGACATTTGCCAAAGACTCTAATTATATTTTAGGAACCTGTGACAAGGTTAGTACTCGACCCTCTTTGCTCAAGGTTAGTGTGATCTGGGAGAGGAAAGCACAGTCTGTTTTTTGTTTTTGTCTCCATTTTATCCAATAATAATAGTAATATTCAACACAATTACAGTAACTAACAGAAGAATCCAAT